TTGAACAACTTTGGTATTCATCACTTTTTATGTTGAAATCATTTTGGGTCTCAAATTTTGGTTCGAACTTATCATTTTTTAAAATTTCAAATTTAAAAGGTTCAAATTTTGTCAAATGACAAGATGATCAAAATAAAAGTTGTAGATCTTCATGACCTTTACAACTTTGATGTTTATCAAATTTTCATTTGAGATCATTTGGTGTCTCAAAATTATTTTAGTAGTTTTAATTTTATTTTTTTAAAATTTAATTTTTTCCCATTTTTAAAGGTTTAATTTTGTAATTTTAAACTGTCGTAGTTGTTTTAGTTATTGTATATGTAAATATATCTATAAAAAATAATTATAAAATTTTGTACTATATTATTTATTACTTACAAAGTTGTCGAGTGTCGTTTGCTGAGTAACACCCGGTAAATTTCCTGTATCCGGTGATGGAGCAACGTTAGACATAGTGAGCACCGCGAATTTGGTAATCCACCCAAACTGGAAGATGTTTTTTTATTGGTAATGAAATGACTCGTTTCCGGCGGGCCGTGCCATTGTCTCGTCGCACGCTCGCTCCAATATCACCGTCCCCACGCGCAGCGGTGGGCGAGCCCAGCACGACCAATTCCTACGCCCGTGCGTCGCTCGTCTTCCACTCCTTTCGCCCCCACACCCACACCTACCTTCGCCTCTGTGCCCGCCGCCCACGCCACTGGCGTGCGCGCTAGCCACGGCCACGCCGTAAACAGCCCGAGCTCAGCCGTGCCACCGCGCCTGCCTCCCACGCCGCAGCCGCGCTCCTCCCGTGCGTCCGCTCGCGCGTCATTCCAGTTCCGCTGTCTCCATTTCTCAGTTCGCTCTCTCTAGGGTTTCGCTCTCTTCCTCCCCTCGTCGATTTCTCCGCAGCGTGTTCGATCCTGGCGATTTTACTTGGAGGGGAGTGCAGATCGTGCTCGTAGGGGGATGATTGGTAGAGGATTTTGCCTGAATTCCCGGTGCTCCAGCTCGTCCCAGCGGTGGGACGCAATCGCAGGTGGGTTCGGTTCGCGCCCACCTCCAACAACCTGCTCGTCTCCTCATGAGATTCGGTGAGGGCTCTCTCCCCGCCTCGCTATTCCTTCTGGTTGGGTCAAGCTCGAGGAGATGCGAACAGTTCTAAATTTCTTTGAGGTTGGAGGATTGTATTTTCAGTAAATCGTCCGGGGGTCTAGCTCATTTCGGATTCCAATTTGGGCACGCTCAGGTCAATTTGAAATTTGGAGGAGATTGTGAGCAGTGTCTGATAGGGTTTTCGTCTGATTCGTTGCAGGGGCTACGTCTGTACGATGCCGACGAGGGCACGCTCCGGGTCAGTGCGGAGTCGGAGGCGGCACTCCTCGACTGGTGCTTCCAGGATGAGTCCGCAGCGTTTGCTTGCAGCTCTGATGGATCTGTGAGAAGGTAAATTTAAAAACGGCCACAATTTGTTTCTGGATCGTATCTTGAAGTCGCATGCCCTTATAGCATTTCCATTTACTGTCTCTGGCTGCATGATAGAATGAGTGAGAGTGTGCTGCTTGTACTGATAGTCAAGTTACACATTGTAATTCTGTGCATGATTGATGACATTTATGTATGTCTTTTGATTGAAGTGGTTATGACTAAGCAAAGTTCTACCCGTTGCAATCTGTTTGACCTTTGGTTGCTTTTTTTTATGACATTTTGATGCTAATGCATGACAGGGCAAATAATGTATGGTAGTTTTATTTTTATCCTTGTTTTGTTTTGTTTTGCATATTTGCATTCATGGCATTTTCCAGTGTGACAATTATAGGATAAACAATAATAGTACTTTTATATGTGGCAACTGCTGATTTACTCCACTAGCACTACTATATGTGCAACTGCAACTACATTGAATTAGAGAAGATTGTTGTGTGCCTGCTGCTGCTGCTGATTTACTCTATTATTGCTTTATCATCAACACTGTTTTGCCTAATTTATAACAATATTATTGCTTAATGCCTAACACTATTTTGCCTAACACAATGCACATTTGTTGTGAAACATTCAATACTGAAACTGGCAGAATATTTCAGGGCTTCCAAAAGTAACTGAAACATTGAAACAAAATGCATGGTAAAAATTACCATGTATTCACTTTCTTTGCATGTCAGCTGGGTGCCTAGACTCTAATAAAAGTGGCAGGCGGCACTGAGCTTCTGAAAGTAGTTAGATCATAGGCCTAAGCCTCGGCCCTCAGGTGATTCTTGTACATTGTTAATGTTGATGTCCACATAGAAATATAACTGGATGGTTGCATCTGGTGATACCGTGATAGTTATATTTTACATAATATATTGTATCATAATTCAAAGAAACAAAACTGAAGGAGTCTCATTTTACCGCTGATTGATTACTTGTGCACATTTGGACTGAAGGCGTCTCATTTTACTTACATGGCCTCTGCTTTCAAATCAGTCAGGCTTCAACAGAAGAAAGGTTGGATTTCCTTCTGTGTGCTGGGTTTAAAAGCAAGGATATGAAGATGATCTGATCAGGCAGCCACAGATTCTGGAATATACCCTCAGCAACCTGAAATCTCATGTCGATTTTCTCATAGGTCAGCGAGCTCATCTCTTGAGGTCAGGTCAGGTCGCTACGAGCGCTTTGCATGATTGCCTCCCTTTACAATCCATCTTCTTTCTGATAGATACTGGGGAATCAACCAGCTTCTGTGTGTCCTCTTTTTTGCAGGAATCGACTTCAGGTAACATTTCTCTCTGCAATTTTTAGTTTACCAGCAGCAGTTCAGTGGACCGAAATTGATGTGCTTATGTGATCATTCCTTTCTCTCAGCTAAGATTTAATCATTTTTGTTCACTAGCTAGCTACTGTAACTCGGCCTACAGTTTTTTTAGTTTCAGTCAGTGTTCTGAATTTCATGATACAGTGATTTACCTGTAAGCAATCATGACTTGCATGTACTATGCATCTATAATAGCAATGATACAATGGAAATTTGAAATAACAAGAGTTGGTGAGTGACTACTATATAAATAGTAGCTCAAAGTATAAATTTGTTTCTTTCAGTGATCGACAAATTTGTTTCTAGCGAATAGGCTAAATTGCCTAGTAAAAATAGGCTACATTACAGTGATGTACCTTTAAACAAAAGAATTGGTCAGTGATCGACAAATATTGTTTCTTTTTGACTAGTAAGAATATGCTAAATTGCATATTTAGGAAGACATTGTCACCTAATGAATGCTATTTAAATTGCCTACGAAAATGTAGGTTGCTCTGCATTTTCAGATCCATGCTTTCTCTGTTGATTAGTTGCTTCAGTTCTTATCTGTAGGTCATAGCAACTGCAGCCTCAGCTAGGCCACTATTGGGCAGGCAACATTTTTGGCACTGCATAGCTTAGCTCTGTTTTCTTCAGGTTTGAGCAGCTCCTTTTTTGCCATGTTCTCCCTAGCTTCTTTGCAGCTGCTTGCTTTTTGTATCGATTTATTTATCCTTTTTTCTGACCTATACTAGCTCTTTTTTAGTGCTTGGTAATTTTGTAGCAGCAGCAGCAGTTTTGCAGAAACATTTGCTCTCCAACAACAGTTTCAGGACTTCAGGTAATATTTCTCTCTGCAATTTTTTGTTAACCAACTGCAGTTCAGTGGATCAAATTGATGTGTTTATGTGATCATTCCTTCCTGTCAGCTATGATTTAATCATTTTTATTCACTAGCTACCTGCTGTAACTTAGACTGCATTTTTTTTAGTTTCAGTTAGTGTTTTGAATTTCATGATACAGTGATGTACCTTTAAGCTATCATGAATTGCATGTATTATGCATCTATAATATCCTAGTAAGAATACGCTAAATTGCATAGTAAGAATACGCTAAATTATAGTGATGTATCTTTAAACAAAGGAGTTGGTTCAGTTTGTTTTGCACGTGGACTTGTGGATTTCTTAATGGACTATGTTATAATGATGGACTTCATAATGGACTATGTTGTAATGATGAATTTTTGTGAATTATGACTTGTGATGATGTTCTAAATAATGGTTTTGTGTTTGTGGATGTATATATGTATATTTATGGCGGTCAGATTCGAATTTGAATTATATATATATATATATATGGTCAGATTTGAATTTGAATTATATATATATCTCATGTAGGGACGGTTCTTGATTGAACCGCCCTTACAAATACATTACCTGTTAGGTGACTAGTGATACACCGCCCTTACAGGAGGGCACCTTGTAGGGGTATTGAAAACACCACCAGCCGCCCTACAAAGCACTCTGAGGCGATCGAGAAACCGCCTCACAGAGGCACCCTTTGAACACCCTAGGAAGGAAGCGGTGGCGCGACCATCCCTATAGAGGCTCTAGAGCCGCCTACGATTAACTTTTGTATGTGATGGCGTGACACGAGGTGGATCACGCCGACGGCGACGACAGTGGGCGTGAGCTTGTCCATGACCGCCATGGTGTCCACGTCTTGGGTGGTGATGGACGTGTAGCTTCCAGAGGTCGTCGCCGGCCTTGATTCGCGCAGTGCTTTGGCGCCATCTTGTCTTCTTTCCGACACAATCAAGAAGCGTTCGTGGATCGGGTACTTTAGTTTAAGTTGGCTCAGCTCCTCCTTCATGTCGTCGGGGTCTTTGAAATGGTCGTCCTTTGCATCGGAGAGGAAGATTATGAAGGCCAAACGGTCCTTGTCCGCTGCCTTACGCTCATCTAGGATCTCATGACGTTGGCGTGAACAAACACCATATTTGTAAATTTTGTTCTAAATCTCAAGACTACCTGAAACCTAACTTGACCAAGTTTAATACCAAAAAACACTACTACTTTTGTTAAAATTCATGTAAACTTGGTCCATGTGGTTGCCTCTAATAAATTTTGTTCTAATTCAAGTTTACCTTTGCGGCTATTTTCAAGGGCATGAAATAGTCCGCCCGACCCCCTGGTTTGAGCGCATCCACCGCATTTCTGACTTTTTGCTGGCCTTCCTTGTCCATCTACGTAAGTGGTGTGACATCTTTCACCACATCACTGAACGGCACCACGGCGAGGCGGTTTCGGGCGCCACTGCCCAGAGTCTGGATGGCTTTCGCCATGGCTTCCTTCGCCCGTTCCAACCTGTGGTTCTCCACGGTGGTGCCGTTGCCATAGTCCCAGGCCATGCTGCCGCTAACGTCGAGCACAGCCACGACGTCGACGGGGACGCGCTCATGGAGCGTCGTCATCTCCGCCGGCGCCTTCACGCACACGGTCACCGGAAGGTCGGTGTAGCTCTTCTCCCTGGGGATGGACGTCACCTTTGTGAAGGTGCTCAGCTGCAGGGCTGATGGCTTGGCCTTCACAGAACATGCATGCATCCATGGAGATCATATATATATATATAACCTAAGTGATCTCGAATTTGTGTAGTAAAGAATTTGGATGCGTAGATGGAATTGAACATCCATCCATGATCCATGTATAAAACATCCTCACCTGTGCTGCCATCTCTGCAACTGGCTTCGATATTAGCTAGCTGGGATCGATCCAGTATAGCCTCCTCGATCGAACGAATTCTTGGGTTTCTCTCTTCTCTGTGCTCAATGCATGGTACATGATTTCTCAATGCAAGGATCGGAAATAACATATATAGACGCATTGGGTGGACGATGTTCGATGGATGGTCATCGTCGCAGGACCACCGTCGTGTTGATGCAGATATGCCATCTAATCCAGCGCTGTCAGCATCAGATATGCTTTTTTCTAGAACACGACTTCACGTGTATTTTATTAAGGAGGAGAATCCGAAAAGGTAATACAAAGACGTCCGAAGGCGAGATGCCTGGATCAGCGACAACCAACCTGCGCTACTCTCAAAGGACTACATGGGGAACAAATTTTACGACAAGAGAATGGGGAGGAGGGATACTATGGCGTAGTCGCAGCCACCACGAACACCGAGAGCGCCGTGAAGCCAGCCGCAACCCACTGGTCTCCCTCCTCGAGCACCCCCCGTGCTGCCTGAACCACCGAGCTGTGCGCGTTGTCGAAGATGCGGGAGTTACACTCCTTCCAAAGGTGCCAAAAGAGAAGGAGAACCGCCGCGTCGAACCCCTTGCGCATCGGTCTCAGCACAAGACATCTCGCATCCATCCACCAAGCAAAGATCACTGCCCATGGCTGCGGCGTGATCCTTTCCCAACCTATGGGATGCAGGAAACGGTACCAGATCTCCCTAGCGATGACAAAACAAACAAGGAGGTGGTCGACCGTTTCATCTTCCTGACCGCAGAGGGCGCATTCGACCGAGTCCTGAAGTCCATGCCTCATTTGCGTTCCGTCGGCCAGATACGGCCATGCAGGGCTAGTCAGAAGAAGAGCTTGACCTTCGGCAGCGCTGAGGCCTTCCAGAGCTGCTTGGCCCCCCAACATAGATGACATACCGAGGAAGAAAGAGCGGTAGGCCGAGGATGCCGAGTAGGAGCCGTCAGGCATCCAACGCTAGACGAATCGATCGCTCACTAGCGGCCAAAGATGGACCTCCTCAAGCTTCGCCCAGAGTTCGACATAGTCGCACAAACCGGCACAGTATGCGCCCCGGTGATATGGCGCACCCAACGATGTCTAGAGAGCGCCTCCTTGATGGACACCTCGAGGAAACGGCGATCGATCGCTTGGAACAAGTGAGGCGTGAAGGACGCAATCGGTTCGTTTGACAGCCAAGAGTCGAACCAAAACCGTGTAGAGACCCCATCGCCGAGCTCCACCACAACGGAGCAACTGAACATGGCGCTTACCAATTTCTCCGGCTTGGAGGGAAGCTTTGTCTAAGCTGGCTCATCGGCAGCCCTCTTTTCCCATTCCCAACGTAGGTGGAGTGCAAACCCGAGGATCCTGATGTCCGGCATTCCCAAACCACCATAGCATTTCGGGGAGCACACAATCGGCCAAGCCACCTTGCACTTCCCCCTAGCTGCGGTTGTCGTTCCACACCATAGAAAAGCTTGACGGCTCCTGTCGATATGCCTGATCGCCCAAGCCGAAAGACAGCACGTGATGGAGACATGGACCGGGATAGCCGACAGCGTCGCACGGGTGAGAGTGAGCCTACCCGCCATGTTGAGCAGCCCTGCCTTACAGGTTGGGATGCGCCCAGCGATGGCATCTACAGCTATTGCTCCTCAGAGCGCTGCAGTCTGACCACAGAAAGTGGAGCTCCCAAGTAGCGACACGGGAAGGGCGAGACCAGGTAAGGGAACACCTGTTGTACAAGAGCAATGTCCTCCTGAGCGCACTGGATCGGTGAGATTAGGCATTTGTCCACATTAGTGAGAAAACTAGAGGCCCCAGCAAACAAGTCAAGGATGGCGCGAATGCAGCTGAAATCTTCCTGCTTGGAGACAAGGAAGAGAACCAGGTCATCGGCGTAAAGCGACATCCGATGACCAAAGTAGTCACTGGGGAGAGGCGACAACAACCTACTGCGGTCAGCTTCTAGTATCATGGCATTGAGGACCTCCATCACCAGCACGAACAACAACGGGGAGAGCGGGTCACCCTGCCGCAAACCCCTAGCATGGCAGATGCGCCGACCCATGCGGCCATTGACAAGCACCTTTGTGCTTGTGGACGAGAGAATAGCTGCGATCCAATCCCTCCACCTCCTAGGGAAGCCCAAGCGCTCCAGCACCTCGAGCAAAAAAGGCCACGCGACCAAGTCAAAGGCCTTGGCGATGTCTACCTTGAGTAGGATGCATGGGCACCGCCTTGCATGCAGCCACCTATAGTATAGCTGGACCAAGCAGAAATTATCATGTATTCGGCGCCCATTGATGAATGTTGTTTGGTTCGAGTAGACCAGTGAGTCCATGACTGGGGCGAGCCTCATCGCCAGGGCCTTGGTCACCAACTTGCTGAAGCTATGAATGAGACTAATTGGTCTATAGTCCCTAAGACTCGCAGGAGCATCGTTCTTACGCAGCAGCACCATGCAGGCGTCATTAAGCAGGTAAAAACTCCTCCAATCTTGCAACCAGATCAAGTGGAGAGCGACACATATATATCCCTTTATAACCGTCCAGGCGACACGATAAAACCTTCCAGTAAAACCATCCGGGCCTAGGGCGTGATTAGCCGTGGTTTCCTGGACCACCCTGGCGATTTCTTCCTCCGTGAACTGGGCTGCAAGTCCTGAAGGTCTAGCGCCGGCAGGTCTAGGTGTGCCAGATCAATTCAGTGAAGACGATAAAACCTAGTCCCCAGGAGGCCACCATAGTAGTCAAACACTACACCCGACTTAGCCTCCTTTGAGGTGAAGGTCTGGCCCCCGTGGCTTATTGTCGGTATGTAGCTTTTATGTTTCCTGTGGCAGGCCTGAAGATTGAAGAACCTAGTGTTGGCATCACCATCCTTTAGAAACCGGCACCGGGATTTTGTCTGGCTATGGTTCTGGCCAGCGAGGAGAGGCCCAGCGTGGCTACCTTGAGATCACGACGCAGGTCACACTCCTCAGGTGACAGCAATCTTGATTCCTGCACGATGTCAAGCTCATAGACGACGACACGTGCCGCGGCTAGCTGCAGTCGGATGTTGTCGATGCATTGGGTGCCCCAGCTCTTCAAAGCTTTAGCCACACTTCGTAGCTTGCAGTCCAAGGATCTGCAGACATCAACCTCCCGAAGGGGACAAGTCCATGCAGCCTGGACCACATCAAGGAACCCATCAACCTTGGGCCAGAAGGACTCAAACCAGAACCGTGGTTGCGCCCAAGGTTTCGCACACAAGACCAGCAGCAAAGGTGCATGGTCGGAGCAATTGGTAGAGCGACAATGCAAGTGGTGATACAGATGGCCTTCCAACCAAGGTACTGTAGCGAAGACACGGTCGATGCGCTCCATTATCAGCCTACTCTCATTGCTCCAGGTGCAAGCTGTAGTTCAGCGATGGTGCGACGGAAGCGTCGCATTAGGCGATGGTTTAGCCTATTATTATTCTTGTCTTGTGCCTGATAAATTAGGTTGAAGTTGCCACATATCAACCTTGCCCCAGTACAGGTAGAGGCCAAGCCCTCTAGTTCCAAAAGGAAGTCTTCCTTCAAGGAGTGATCTATTGGGCCGTAGATCGAGGTGAGCCAACAATCACCCACGTCAGCCCCGTCGATCGGTGAAAGGAACACCGTTGCTGAGAAAACTGCGACATTGGCAGAAGGCAAACCCCGCCACGAGTCTCTACGCTAGCCTATACACCAACAAAAGGCAAGTAGGAGTAGTTGAAGTCTGGTCCCATTAACTCATTGATCATGGGTACAGAGAAATCTGCCACCTAGGTTTCCAGTAGGCAAACCACATACTCCCTCCGTACCTACAAAGGAAGTCGTCCTGGCTCACACCACCGATTTCGCAAAGTTTGTCGTCTTGGCCGCGCGGTCGTGGTTATGGACGCGTTTGCCCCTGCATTAATCACGGAGTCCGTCGTTCCGCGCATGTTTATCGTTCCGCGAGTGTGCACAGCGGCAGTAATCGTGGCCGCTTCGTTTCACTCGACGCCCGTTCGCACACCTCCCTTAAACGCCGCGCCCCTTCATCTACCGCAGCCTCGCCGCACGCCTTCATCTACAGCATCGTCTCGCCGCTCTCCGTCGAGGACTCCGTCGAGCCATGGACGGCGTCGAGGCGCTGCTCTCCGTCAAGGACTCCGTCGATTCGCTGCTCTCCGTCGAGGACTCTGTCGAGGCGCTGCCGGCTTCCGCCTACGTGCCGGACTCCATCGTGGAGGTGCAGCCTGCCGTCGAGGACTCCATCTACGTAGAGGTGTCCAAACGTTTCTTCGCTGTGAAACGTTTCTTGCCTTTAAATAGATGGCGCAGACAGGCAGTCCAAACGTTTCGCAGCAGCAGCACTCCACCACGAGCAGCGCGCGAGCCAACAGTGCCATGCAAAAAAGATTCGGCAGCAGCAGCCACAGGCAAAAAAGTTCGAGTCCGCGGGGTTTCGAACACAGCACCACCGAACTCGGGACTAGCTACGCTGGCCAGTGTAAAACTCAGGAACTTTCTCCTATGAAAAGCAGCCACAGGCGTATTTATTAGGGATAAATAGGGAAAACTCTACCATAACTCTACCCTAATTAATCACTCCTTGGTAAACACAATCATGTCCTAAACGACTTTCTTTGTAGGTATGGAGGGAGTATACATGTTCTTGGATGATGATGTCCCTAACAGCAGTACGACGTGCATGGCTGTTAAGCCCGTGGGCATTCTAGACAAGGAACTGGTTGTAATTCATAAGTAAAGATTGTGCGACAAGCAACGTCCGTCCCTCAGTCGTCGAGCGCCAGGGCTGTGCTCCACCGGCCTCCAACGGGGAAGAGTTCGCGCATGGCCATGCGCTTGGAGGACGACAGTGGCTCCTTGAAGGTTTGATGGAACCTTTTGGTGTAGGATGGATCAGGGCTCCGTGGCGGCAATGATCTCCCCACCGGCCTCCACTTCCTCAGCACGACCTTCT